TTATGATTTGCTTGCAGTGAAAGAAGTGCACTGGTCATATCCAGTACTTTAAATTAATTCACTGGTCATGGTCATTTGAGGTTTATGTTGTGCTTTGTGACAGGGTACAACTGCAACAATACTGGAGCTGCTCTGATGGAGACTACTGACAATACCATAGTGATTTACCTGCAAAATGTGTTAGTAACAGAAAAGTTTGTACAGTCAGCTTTCAGTTTTATAGTTTATTTTGCCTTTATTACACCCATCAGGTTTTACTCTGTTAGATTTTAGGAGGGAGCTATGAGCTGTTTACTGCTTGGCTCCAAACAAAGGTGATTAAGCTCATGACTCCAGTAGCTCCACTGTGAGCAATTGTTGGTCTTATACAGAATTTAGGCGTAAGGCTTCAAATCTTATTTCTAATGTTAATCTGAGATCCTCTGCCTCAAAAGTCAGTAGTAATATTCCTATTGATTTAAACAGGATTGGGTTTTCACTCTATCAAAATACCTTCTGAGTGAAAATGCTGGAGTTGTTTTCACATCATCAGTGGTTTTGTATCAAACTTTTATTGTCTTCTGGTATTAATCGATATTTTTTTCTAATGTGAAATACGTTTGTGATTTTATGTCTGTATTCAGAAAGCTGTTTTTAAAAACTCTTTTCCTTCTTGCATGAGATGTGTAGGCAGACTCATAGAATACAGCAGATAGCCATCCCCATTAGCAAAGGATAGCATGCCTGAGGCATTTTATTGATTAGCCTCTTGAGTCAGATACTGAAGATGCTGCAAGTATGCAATTTTCATTACAGTCACAATATTTAGCCTATGAGCATCAAGGGGTTAACTGCTCACATCTCTGTGTACACTTTTGGTGATGAACAGACATATTTGTTAGCTTTGGACTAAATGTAGAGAAAGAAGGGTCTAATTCAGCAAAATTCTGTGTGTCATATTTGTGTATAGATCTTTATGTTATGCTTACCACTAATCTGCCTGTCAGCTGGAAGTGAAGAAATTCATACAGTGTTGCACATGTATATAATCTCTTTATATCCTTCTTCTTGGAGATGTATTACAGAAGTGCTGATTAAGTAAGGTTTTTGTTTTATTTTTGTTTCTTCAGCGTGTGTAATATTTTCATTAGCACAGGTAGGCAGCCACCATCTATATTAATATATATGTAAAAACTACATACTGTATTATAACATGTGTAAGATGTTCAGTTTCTTGTAGGTTCCATATCAAAGAACAAAAACCTTTAGGAACAGATTTCAAAGCTAAGGTATAGCAGTTCTTTGGTTTGTATCCTCATGTTAAAAACACCTTTCCTAACAACCTTGATATGTTAAACATTTATTAAAAATAAAGAGACTGTGGTAATTGTATTTTTATTGATGAGTTTACAAATTAATCATGACAGGTTGTACATACCTGTTTTAGAAAAATCAGTCTGGATCATCTTTATACAGTGCACGTGAAATTTATTTTCTATGCATAATCAAAACTGGTATATCTGAAATATTTACAGGTCAATAAAAAGATTTTCAGAAGAGTGTCTATAATATTACATGCTATAAATTTTCAACACAAGTTTATAATTGATGGTCAAGTAGCTACTGAATGTTGACTGGCTGAACAGTGACCTTATGGACATGCAAAATTGTGTTCTTAGGTATATGCAGTTTTCACATAGCATCTAAAGGCATTTCAAAAAATACTAACCATTTCAGAGAACAAATGAAGACTCAGCAGTGAGAAAGTAGTGTCCTTGTTTAAATCATTGGGGTTAACATCAAGTTACCACTTGAAATGTTTAATTACTAAAAGGGGAAAGGGATGGAGATCACAGGGGAATAAAAGAACTGCCTAAAATATGCCACAGTTTCCCTTAAACCCACACAGAATATTTTGTGCATTACTTTTTCAGGGGAAGAAAACTGGATTGTCATAACAGCTCCATGCCCAAGAAGTAATTTAGAATAATACTGACTTTTTAATAAAATCTCTGAGAAAATAGCTATAAATTCAGTCTGAAAAGCTTGTGGGATCTTCCTGAATGGAAGGTGCTAGGGAGAGGGTTGTTGCCACTACTGAAGTTGCTTAGTGTGTAGGTTTGCCAGCCACCAACGTTTGAAATCTGTGATGAGTTATGTTATTTCACAAAGTATTCAAACCAGTTTAGTTATTTCCAAGAGTGAAGCAAGGAAAAAAGAAAAAACAAAACACAAAACTATCAAAGAAAAAGAGCCAACTTTTGTCTGAGAAGCTCTTGAAGCAGTCTTGATAATTGCTATCAGTGTGCTCACCATGCTGGAGATGTGTTATTTTCTGTTCTTTTAAAGATGTGTTTGCAATAAGTTATGCTAAAATACCTCCCTTGGGAGAGATTTCCTCAAACTTTATCAGTTAAATCCTTTAAGAATGCTATTTCTTTCCATCCTCATGAAGTCCCGGTGGTTGCAGTGTCCTCTGTGTAACTGATGTTTATGGCGCTTGAGTTTGGACATCAGAACAGAAAACAATTTTCTAGCATCTGGAGCTGTCAGATATGTTTTTGCTTTATCTGTCCCGCAGTACAACACTGTAGATAAATTTCCTGGCTTTATTCATGTGGAGACAATGGCCAAACTGGTTGGAGGGAGTGAAGGAATAGATTGAAGAAGAGTCAAAGCTGAGGTGGAAGGTAGGGAGGAAGGGAGGAAAGGCCTGTGATTCAATGCCCAGGGAGTTGAGGGAATATAGGGGAACCATTGGGATTGAGAGGCTGAGGGAAGCAGCAATGTATGCGACAAGGGAGGATGAGCATGGAGGCTGCTATCTGGAAAGAGACAGGTGGTCAGAAGGGACAAAGAACTGGGACATGGTTAGGGAAAACAGGAAAAAAACACATAACATGGTGGGTAGATATAATTAAGGAGCTCAGGACTGGCAGCCAGGGGTGAGGGATGATGCCAAGATGACGATAATCCTGTGTGAATTGGGCAGAGGGGAACAACTGCTGGTAATACTGACACAGTACATACATGCAAGAGACTGAATTAGAAGTTTGCAGGTTGCTTTAATGCTTTAAATTTTTATTTTGTGTGTTGTTACATGGATGTAACACTTGCCTTGTGTGTTTGCTTACGTGCAGGGTTATCATTCTTCAAAAACCAAACTGACTTGGATTCTGGTTTCTCTGAATGCACAGGGCTGAAATCTGCAATGATTCAGAAACTGATGGACAACTGATTGCTTCAGGAATTGATGGACAGCTGAATGAGGCACCCTTGCTGTGAGAGTGGGGTGAGGGGAAAAGCAGCACTAGTCAGAGGGTGAAGAGCAGCTAGGAGCTGTGACAGATAATGTCCTTTTCATCTCCCCTGCTGCCGCTGGTCTGTCCAAGTTCTTTCTTTCCTATGGAGGGGCTTTTTTGTTTTTTTTCCAGTCAAGGTTGTTAAAGTTGAATGCAGCCCAGTACCAGTAAAATGTTAGAATGACCCCATGCAGTGTGTGGCATTGGATAGCCGCTCTTTAGGACAGCCAGAAACTGTAGAAGGGGCAGGAGAGAATGCAGGTGTATAGAGTTCCCCATTAGCAACTACTACAGCCTGCTAATGAATAACTTATTCCTGTCCTGATGCAAATATCTTGACTGGGTTTTTTTGGGAGGGGGTTGCTAATGAGCATATCCAGAAACCTACTTTTAAAAGAAAAGTACTTGGAGTGTGTCTTGCTCTCATGAGGAATGTCTATTAAATAAGAAGGCATTTTTAGAAGTTTCAATCTCTTCAAACAAAATTCCAGATCGTTATTATGAGAAATTTTAATGAGAATTAAGTTTCCAAGTAGAATCAAATCAGTTGCACCATGGCAATTGAAGTATCAAAGCTTATAGGAAAAGTATGAACATTTTCTAGGATAACAAGTGTATCCTTTTGCCTTCTGTCAATGTTGTGGGAGTAAGTAGTTTTCTAGTGTCAGTCAAAATGAGAATTTGAACTCCATCAAACTGGAAATAAAACCTACTAAATAAGTAAAATGATAAAATGTTTTGGAAAAGTGTTTTGGGGATATGGCAGATCATCATTATATAGACTGTGAAAGGACACGTGTGTTTCAGTGGAAACATATTCAAACACAGGTGAATCTTAAACTAAAAATAAGCACTCTCACAACTGAACTACATGTTTATCATTGTTTTTCATTAGTTCCACTGAATTCAGTACCAAAATACCCAGTTCACAATTGACAGGTGGAAAGAAATAGTCATTAGGAGAACAGCAAATGAAAATACCATGAAGTTTTCTTGGCAGTCAGGGGCCCTGCGGGTCCTGATTAGGGATGGTCCAGAAATAGACCACAAGCACCTGGCGAGACAGAAGACAAGTACTTGCAAATTTATAATGCTTGTACTTCTCGTACACTCTTACAGATTTATTTCAAATGATACCCCCTGAATATGGAAGACGCATCCCTCTGAACCCACCCGAGGCTGTGAAGCTGGCAAGGCAGAAGGGGCCGTTTTCTCTGGGAAGTGTGGGTGGCTCCATGGTTGAGCAGGGAGCTCTTTCTCTCATGGGTGCATGGGGGAAGACGAAAGCTCCGGTTCCAGCCTTGGGCTGCCTGGCAGCAGACAGCTGGTGGCCAGCAGGGTGGGCAGGGGGAGCCCAGCACACCAGCGGCTCTGCAGGAAGCCCCACTGGGGGCAGGCTGCCTGCAGAAGCACCCTGCCCTGGAACTAGGGGGCACAGGGGTCATGCTGCCCCGCTGGGAACTGCACCTGCACAGGGCGCCCACAGAGACTGCCTCACCCTAACCTCACCCTCCTGCACTGTGCCAAAACACCCTGCAGGCAATTCCCACCATCAGGAGAAGCAGTGGGGCTCTGCAGTTTTTCTTCAGAGGACCATGCACAAAACCACTCTTGCTCCAAACCCAGGGAACACATAAAACTCTACAAGTGTAGAGGCTGCGGGCTTTGGTTGTTTCTGCAGAGCAAAGCTCAGTGCATCCCTAGACTTTTTATTCCGACATGCACCACCTCCAGAAGGCAGTTCTGGTTCACACCCAGCCTGAGCTGCCTTCAGAAGTACGTCAGCAGAGCTCACTCTACAGAAAGGTCAGTTCTACACCATGGGGGTGTGCATCTTGTGGAGGGAAAGATGCAAAAGAGCCAAAGATATGTGTGCTCTGAAAGGCTTGTTTAATGGAGAGGTCTTTTTTTCTTAGATTTCCCCCTCTTTTCTTTCCCTGTGTCACCCATGTCAGAGCCAGAAAGAAAAGGAGCCTCTGTTCTTTCAATAAATGAATTCTCTCTTTGTCTCTTCCATTAATTTTGCATCTGAGAAGGATTCCACTGTTTTTCTGGTAACTTTTGTTCTTGAGCTTCTTGTAATGTCTCTGAAAGATAATGAGACAATCCAGTTGACTGAATCAAAGGATAAACAAATCCAAGTCTCATGCAAACACCTTTGATTTTGAAGAAAGAAAATATAAGAAGATTTTCCAAAATATTTTTTGAACTGAGCTTGATAGAGGGCTCTAAGATGTGAAGTGACTTGAAGACATAGATGTATTATGCTATTGTGGCCCCTACTCTTGAACAAGGGGAGTAGAAAAAAGATTAAAGAACGAATTGAGAATTTCTTTGGAAATTACCATCTTAAGTTGTTGACTCCATGACCAGGGCTTTGAAAAGACTTAAGAGAAAGAAAATGGAGGCCAGAGGGGAAAAAAAAATAATTAAAATGTGGGATGACACAGGTAAAAGGGAGTAGCCTAAGAAATGAAGGAACGGGCCATTTACACTTACAAGTAATATTGAAAAAAAATATGGTCAAGAGGTTAACAGTGTCACCAGGGCTGAGAGCAAATGCTAAAAAGGACACCAAGTTTGGGCTTTGTTTGGGGCGAGGGAGTGTGAGAAGGTGGCTTGCTCGTTGGTCAGATAGTCTTGTGATGCTCTGCACAAACAAGTTTTTGCAGGCATGCTCAGCTCTTGACAGTACAGCTGCTTTTTCTGGATGAAAGAAATGGCAAAACAAAGGATTAGAAAGATATATACTGATCTTTTCTCCTTCCCATTCTTCTTGCTCCTAAAAAATCCCTGAACAATCCAACATGAAAACCCCCCACCAATTTATTAATAGTTTGAACCAACTTCTTACAGCAAGACTGTATTACTGTTACCGGGCTGCCTAACAGCTGAAGTAGTTGTAAATTTCCTGAAACACTCTGACAGAATGTCTCCTCTAATTTTTAAGATTTTCTCTTTCTGAAAGCCTTTTAGTGCTCTTTACTGACATTCTCCCTTGACAGTCTTGCACTCAAAGCAGTTAATTGAAGCATTTGACATATTTAAATTGTAAGTTCTTCTGCTCTAAAACTGCCATGCATAATGAGCTTAATGTGCTCAATAAAAATGCATACAACACCTAATTTGAAGGAAGAGTTTATGACTGATGACCATAGGAAAAGTTAGGAATGTCAGAATTAAGGCTTTGGTTTTTAAAGTGCCTCCCTTTTTCACACAGGCAGAAATAGAAGTATCGAAGAGGTGGAATAGAACCAAAAATACCAGAACTAGACAATTAAAATTAGAAGATGGTATCTTTGTATTTATTCTGCAATTTGTATGTTGTATGTACATTCATAAATTTACATACTAAGACATACTGCTCCAGTAAAACATAAGAAATAATGGAAATAGGGCAAATGGAATAAGAAATAAGGCTAAACTGAAAAGGTGACAACTGAAAACATGACAAAATGGAAATAGAAGATGCTTCAGAACAGATTTAAATACAAGTCAATATAAGCAACATCAGAAATAATTTTTTAAACAGCAACAAATTTATATGAGAAAGGTTTCAAGGAAGGCTTCAATTAATGGCAAAAGGTTTGGCAGAAACCATGGCAAAAAATTACCTAGAAAATATGGGATGCTTCCTTTATTTGGAATGAATGTGCTAAGAGTAAGTGCATGATCTTTGCTGCCAGGAGAAAACTCTGCTGAGGCACTTCAGAAGGCAGCTCAGGCTAGGTGTGAACCAGAGCTGTGCTCTAGAGGTGGTGCAGGAGGGTGAGGTTAGGGTGAGGCAGTCTCTGTGGGCGCCCTGTGCAGGTGCAGTTCCCAGCGGGGCAGCATGACCCCTGTGCCCCCTAGTTCCAGGGCAGGGTGCTTCTGCAGGCAGCCTGCCCCCAGTGGGGCTTCCTGCAGAGCCGCTGGTGTGCTGGGCTCCCCCTGCCCACCCTGCTGGCCACCAGCTGTCTGCTGCCAGGCAGCCCAAGGCTGGAACCGGAGCTTTCGTCTTCCCCCATGCACCCATGAGAGAAAGAGCTCCCTGCTCAACCATGGAGCCACCCACACTTCCCAGAGAAAACGGCCCCTTCTGCCTTGCCAGCTTCACAGCCTCGGGTGGGTTCAGAGGGATGCGTCTTCCATATTCAGGGGGTATCATTTGAAATAAATCTGTAAGAGTGTACGAGAAGTACAAGCATTATAAATTTGCAAGTACTTGTCTTCTGTCTCGCCAGGTGCTTGTGGTCTATTTCTGGACCATCCCTAATCAGGACCCGCAGGGCCAAGAAGGTACACTGGGTCACACAGCTATTTTGTAAGGAATATTTTCTGAAAAATAGAGAAATAGTAGTAACCAACATCTTAACCATTTCAAAGGAGTGGTTGTATGCTCTATTTTAAAATTTCATTCTTGATACAATGGTTTCTTTCTTTGATGTAGGTATTATTCAAAGTGCATGGGAATAATGGAAATAATAAATTCTTCAGAAGATCTCTTTTCTGTGAAAAGTTGAAATGCATTATTGTTGGTACCTTAACTCAGCTGTTATATGGTAAATTAACTGGATAATGTTAATATTAGGGGATAGATTAGTGAGCAGATTTTTAAATAAAATTGATAGGGCTGGAATCCCTCTACACAGAACTAGTTGCTGCCATTTTACAAATTATCATTCATGGCTGATGAGATCAATTTTAAAGTGTTAATATGTATTTAATTACATTTCCAAAATTTAGTTTTCTTTACTTATTTGCTTGCTGTCATTGCCCTTTGTTGTCTTCATTAGACTTTCATTCATGCTTGGAATATTTCTTATAATGTGTGTGCATGTACAAATTGCATTACTATACCAAGTAAATATAGTTGCTTATATCTCCCCAAAAAGGAGCTCACTGAGCTGAAGTAGTTTCCCATAAGCCAATATTTTGTTAAGTATTTTTTAAACTTTTTTCTTCTACATATCTTCTCTTTGAGTCGGGTAGATCAGTTTACATGTAACTATGACAAAGTCTCGAATTGTGCTCTAGCAAGTAGTTTCAAGGGAAGAGTTTTAACTAGCTGGAGACCCTGCTCACAGGAATCTTCTCCTCTCTTAAGGAATTGGCCTGTAAATGGATTTTTAAATGTATTTATAAATCTGGAACAGATACACTAATTATAAAACCAGACAGATAAGATTCACCTTTGGACATTTTCTGGAACAGCATTTTCTAACTGAATGCATTAAATTGACCATAAGTAAAACCAAAATGAGGCTGCAGGCATTTTAACACTCAGAATTTAAGAGTCAGTGCCATAGATTACTTTCTGCAGACAGATTAGGTGCTGTGTTGAGTTCTTCAGTGATGGGGAGGTGTGTGCATGTGTCCATAAATTTGTGAGGACTTCTCAGAAAAAAACCCTCTGAAAACAGGTTGATACATTTGCTGTCAGTGAAAGATGAGGAGAGAGGGAGGGAGGGATTAGTACAGTTTGAATGGTATATTTGTAGGAAGTATGCTTAGGCCAGTCTGTGTTACATTTGTGTGTGTTAAATCCTTTGTTTCTGAAAGTATTTACTTCTGTTATATGATTGTGTTGGGGAATGTCTGCACATAAAAAGTAACGCTACTGTAAATTCTTCTCTGTTCGGACATGCATGCTGCAAATTAAGGTCAAGCTGGTTTATCTAGGTTAATATTTGTAAATATTTAGCATTGTTATTTTAAAGATTTTTCTCTGCTTGAACACGCAGTGTGCAAATTGAGGCCTAGCTGCTTGACTGCCTTGGGGAAAAGAGGTGCTTACTCTTTGTTGGTAAAGACCACCAAGAACTTTGATTTTTAGAGCCTTGTGCCTTGCTGCTTTTATAAGTGGGAGGTGGTGTCTAGTCTTTTCTGAGCTTGAAGTAAGGGGGAAAAAGAACAGTGAAAAAGTGCTGTTTGGAGAAGCCTGTTTCTGTTGGATATCTACAAGGAATGGGATGAACTGGTGGCTTTGCTAACCTTCAGTTGCACAACTGCATGCTGCTTTGGTGCGTAGTTTTCATCTCTCCTTGGTAACCTTTACTTAGGGCAAAATACTGCAGTTGGTCTCTGAAAATGCTGTGTAAAGTTGTATATCTGCCTTGTATACTGATGCTGCCTGGCTGGTGATGCACACGAGGCAGTGTAGGAGTGTTCTTACTCTCTGCCCTTCCTTGCATACTGGTGGGGAAAGTGCTGGTGCCCGCGCTCCATTGCCAGCAGACACAGCACCTGATGTACTGCATGGGCACTTGCTGCTATCTAGCATTTTGTAGCAGATCGGATGTGCTTCCTGCCTGGAGGACTTGTTAGCAATGTAACCCATGCAGCCCTTACTGGACAGGGAAATATGGGGACATTACACAGGTGTTTCTGAATGTCTCAGATGGATTGTGTGTCATACCCCATAGCAACTTCCTTGTTTTTCCATGCTCTCTAATAAACTTCCTTGTTCAGCATTAGAAACCTGCTCTTGTTACGAATTGTTATCTCTTGCCAGTATATAAGCAGAATAGCTAACTCATCAGCAGGTGTGACTTTACAACAAACTCTAACAATGGTCATGGTGAAGGCAGGCATCTCAAAAGACAATGGTTATATTCAACCAAAGTTTTAAGACTTTTTTGAATGAAGGCTCATGAGCTCATTGGAACCTTCCTTAGCATTTATGAGGTTGTAAGAGGTAGAGTCTGTGGATTGAATTACTTTCAGGAGAAAGGCTTCATGATGGGTGCTTGAACTAAAAGAGGTGATGTGGTTTTTATTTTGTTTTTAATAAAAAGGACTTCACTGCTTACACCCCTTTTCTTTCAAGAGGAGTAGCATCCTGCTGAGGCAGACGTTGCTGCATGTCTTGCTTTGTCTTTAAATTCAGTTATCATCGATCATGGATCTGATTTGGCCTGCACTGCTGTATACAATACAAAAGAGAGAATTAAAAAAATCCCAACTAGAAAAAACTCACTGGAGCTAAAAAAGCAATGAGCAGTGTGGAAGATAAGAATTCCTGGTGACTAAATATAATGTGAATATGTTATAGTACTGTATGTACCATTTTCAAAAGATCGATTTCTTTTGATTAAAAAAATACAGTTAAATCAGATCTCTCCTGAATGTTCTGGCTGTCATTTTCTTTTAGGCAGTAGAAACCTGCCTTTCTGGTTTATGCAGCCACAGTGCTAACATGTAAAGCAAGATGTTATGACTCACTCGAACAATTCTTTGTTCTCTCTTGAAAACATTGCTGATGGTATTTTCAAGTATACTTGGGTTTACCCCTGAGAGTGTAAGCCTCTAGCAAATCTGAGTTTAATGCAAGGCAGATCATGTAATTTTTGCAATGCCCTATGATGTGAATGTAATCCTGTTAACATCTTCTAGTTTTGCAGTTTTGCTGAATTTTGCTGTAATTTTATCAAGGGATAAGATGGCTTTTCTTAGTTTGCAAAACTTACTTCAAATGTCGTAAAAAAAGTGTTTCAGGACTGAGAAGTAGCCACTTAGGGATTAATCAGCAAAACTGCTTTCTTAACTCCATATGAAGAGGCAATTTACTTGCATGAAACCCTGAAATCACGTGGCTTAAAATGAGAACTTGAATTGAAAATGAGGTTGCAGTGGTTTCAGCAAGGTTTTACCTGAAGAGCGCTCCTCAGTGCTGGGAAAACAGGGGTTAAGGAAGGTGAGGTTAGAGGGTGTGGGGATACCTGCTGGCTCTCATCCTGGCAGTTTCCTTTGGAAGCACTTTCGTGTGTACCTGAAAGCACCGATTAAGGGTTTGAAGGTGATTGGTGAGAAGGGCAACAGAGACTACAGCATGCAGTCTGTTTTGACTGAGGCTAACCAAAGTGATGAGCGTCTTGCTGCTGTAGAGGTGGAGAACCCCCAGCTATTGTAAATTGGATGGTTATGCTCAGCATTTCCCCACAGCTGGACCACCTGTTTATGCAGGATCTGCAACAATGGAAGTGTTAACCGGTGACAAGAATTTTTGTATATTTTTTTTCTCTCAGCCTAGCAATATAAATAAAAAACCGTTAAAAAGCTTTTTACGCATTGTTCCCATTTATCTTGGAAAGGAATGAAGGGATCTTTAATTTCAGCCAAACCAGGTGTGAAACATGCATATGTCTTGGGGCTAACACACTAGCTTTAGCGTCCACGGGAGGAAAGCTGTCCCAAAGATTCTTGCAGTCCTCAGCTGCCTGAAGAAGACAATTTCCAGCCAAGAAGGCTAGCTGGATCCTAAACTGGTGCTGAGTTACGTAAGTTAACTCTTACGAGACTTAAGTTTCTTTGTCACGTTAGAATCTTTGATTACTCCCAGGGGTGTGTATTATTATTGTAAGATGCCTGAGTGGAAAATTGTCAGCCTCATGTTTGTTGCTGGATTACTATTTCTGCGTTATGCTAATTAACTGATGCTATGAATGACGTTACTAGTCAGACAAAGCAGAAAGCTCTTTGAAAACAAACTGATTTGAGCTTCACCATCACAGAACCTCAGCATGCCTTTGGGCACCACTCTGTGCCCCCTGGAAGCCATGGTGCAGGCAGCACCTTTTATGCCTTCTGCAAGGGTTTATTAACCGTGCTTTGATTAACTGTGTAAAAACCCTGTAGCTCTGAGCAGGTGAGAGCTCCTGTCTATAATATTCCTTTAATGCTTAGTACCCAGTTGGAAGTCTTACCATCATTATCTGCTTTAGTTAGGGCTGCATGTTTATTTTGAGCTTTTCCTGTGTGTTTCTAGAGATGCCTGCCCAATCCTACATTCCCCAAACCTTGTTGTATGTTTAAAAGGTAATGGAAACAATTCCAATGGTGAAAGGAATTTGGTTTTTATGAGGTATGAATGAGGAGATAACTATGTGCTTTTTAGTGGGACATCACTTCTGCTTCTTTGAGTAACAGCTGATTTAAAGATAAAATGAGGCAGGACAATTACTGCTTCAGTCTTGAAGCTCTGCTGTCTAGTAATTTAACCTGCATTAAAAAAAAAAATAAAATTTAAGGAGTGTTTTGTTTTGTTCTTGTCTTTTTGCTGTAGTGCTCCTGATAGTCACTCTATAGCTAAGAGGAGCTGATTCTTGTCTTACATTTTTCTTACAACACAAGTTCTGTTTCTTGTTGAGGAACCTGATGATAAAATCACTATATTGCTCTGCATTATCCAGAATGTTAAAATGAGATGAATTTTTGCTTACCTTCATCATGTTTTGCCCCAAATTGTTTTCCATTTTGTGGCTGATCATTAAGTGTCACTATTACATGCTGAGGGAATATGTAATTACAGTTGATTAGTATAAACAACCCGTATGATGGCTTTAGATTTGTAAACACTGAGAACCTTTGAAGAACATCTCCTGGTTTAAGCAAATACAGTAAATCTGGTGAGCAGCATGGATACACAATTTCCAACCTAACAGAGATGTAATGGCTTGCTTAGTGTGAGTGGCCATCTGAAATAGTTGTATTGGCCCTGCCCATGTGACTAGGTACAAATCCTGACCAAATGCACCTGCTGGAAAAAAAATAGCTGCATCTTCACTGTCATTATGTGATTGATAGTTTACCAGCAAAGCTAAATTTAATGAAATTATTTGTTTGTACGCTAAAAAGTGAAATAGCACAAACAGTATCCCACAGCTTCCTCTTCCTGTTTCTTTTCTCTCTGGTAATTTTACTACAGTCTAGCAGTTTATACAATATGAAGCAGTTAACTAAAACCTAATTATGAGTTATGTTCGTATTTTCTTGTGGAGTCTAGGACTGTAGTAGTCAAATACTCTAATTGATTCTGAGAGGGGATCATTCTGTGTAATTATTCTCAGTCGTTTTAGCCTGTTATTGGCTGCTAGGCAAACCGACAAATAACAGGCATTCGGGTGGAAGTGAGGTTTTTATAATGCATTCTCAACAGCATAGTGTTCTTTGCTATATTGTCCCCAGCACTGTTTGCTAATACTGGCATAGACCCTTAATGAAGTACTCTTCAAGAAAACAATGTGATTATTTCAATTCAGAGTGTTGGATGGCTCCCACTTATACTATCAAAAATACTTTAAAAGAAAACATAACTGAACCTTCTTCACAAAGAGTGGTAACAGAGTAGCTAACGATATATAATTTAGAACTTAAGGGCACAGTTTTGCCTTCTGATCTATGCTGTTGGAGTTTGAGCGACAGACCCGTGCTGGAAGGATGAGTATGATTTTAGAATTAAAATATGTCACAGGGGTTAGAGTTTTGATCAGAGAACAGGTTTTCTAGATTAATGCTAGGTTCACCAGGATTGTGCTTATGCAAGTACACTTGAGGATTTGTTTTCTTTGCTATTTTGTAACTATTGACCTGCCAGCTACCTAATAGTATTTACCTAATGATTGATTAAACATGTATGAGGGCAAAATATTTTCTTCCGTACAGCTGAAAGTTGTGTTAGAGGCACTGAGAACTGCCTCCTTTTTTTTTAGACAAAGCTAACTGAATGCATGAATGCCACTGCACATAGCTGACAAAGGCAGAAGATCTTTGTGAAAAGGTTCTCCAAATTCTTTCCCACAGAAGTCAACGAAAGGGTCGGTTGTCCTGGGCTACGTATTTCGTCACTTAAACCTAGTGGAGATAGATTACTTTGGACTGCGCTACTGTGACAGGAGTCATCAAACGGTGAGTAAAAGACACAGCAGATTTTATTTTTTCATATGTAAAAATTACCCTGTTTGTGCCATTTGCCTGTAGAGCATTAAATTGTCATATAATAGTTTCACTAAACTTTTTCCTGGCTCAGGTTTCCAGTAATAGTTTCTTTGTGTTTTTTTGCATTAAAGTCTTGGAATAGCTATTAATATCTTAGATAGGATTAGAATCAGATGCTAAATGTTGTTTGAAACTAAATGAAGGAAGTATAAACAGTACAAAATTATGATATGAAAGTAGGATTAGTATTTTTTCCCTTTTAATGCTGTGTCCTGAAGTGAGTGGTTGGTGCATTATGCTGTCCAGATTTGCTTGGCCTTGTGGCGTCTGGGTGTGTCACAGGCTGCTTCACTTGGACCACTCGCTGAATGCCTGTTTCAGAGTATATCTTTTGGTTGGTGTGGTGGCTGCCTGTTCACTGGTAGAGCCCTAGGAGTCAGGGTGTTGGCAGTAACATTTTCACTTCACCTGAATCATATCTGTGTCCTTGAGCCCATATTCTCTTTAGCCTTCTTGTCAGGGACTCATCAGACATCTGAGAGCTTTTTCCACCAGGAGATTACAGTCCTAAATAAGCAAGAAAATTTTAACAAGGCTGAGATGTTCCAGCCAAAACAGGCAGAGGCCTGGGGCAATGCAGTCTGGAGTGACCCCTTGAAAGGCCTGTGCAGGGTTACTGCTGTCAGAGGTGAGAAGCAGGGGATGCTCAACAGGTAAGACTAGCTGGGGTAGTCTTCATATTACCTTAATTTTATAAAGGGAATAATACCTGGCCTGTGGTTAAATTAAGTCAGGCAGTTACGCTTTTAAAGTCACTGTTCTCTGTTGAGAGTACTGCACAATACCCTGACCTCAAGAGATGGCATGTTTCATGTCATCAGAATATTAATAATTTATTGAATTGGCTAAATATTTGCCAGTTTCTTCTGTTTAGCCGAAGTTGAACATGTAACCGAAGTCAGAGCAGTATTAGCAGAAGATTATTGATTGATGCTGAGAGCTACAGACTGCCCTCCTCACTGTATCTTTATTTCTGAGTAGTGTAGACATCTATGAATTCAGTTCCTTGATAAACTTCTAACCAAGTTTCATTCCATGGAGTTGAGAGTCAGATTTAGTGGTGAATTAAAGGCAGACTGTTAAAACCAGTATATTTTGATTTCCTGAGGAAATTGAGGTGTGAATGAAGAGTGGGTAGATACTTTTTGCTCTCAGAATTTGTTTCCCTTTTTCCTGTAGAGGAAAATAAAATAGAAATGGCTATCAGTGGGAACATTTCCAGAGGCATACAGACTGCGTATTTAATGGTGTATATGGCATTATGAAAATAAGAGAGGATTACACCTCTTCTCTGAAAGGTTTAACACATAAAGGCACATATTAGGACATATCCTGCTAACACATTAGATTTGTTTGTATGGTACCAGTGCATTTTTTATTATGGTAGTGTGCATGAGCTGTAGGCCATAATCACATTAACTCAGCCTTTCCAATTACAGCTTTTTTTTTTTTTTTTTCCTTTTTCTTTCACATGATGCTCTAGTGGTGTAAATTTAATAAAGAGGCTAACACATCTTTATTTTCTGGCTGGCCCAAGGTCCAGAAGCTGCTGTGCTTCTTGATTTTTCCCATGGATTAGGAAGGTGTTCATCCCACTTCCCTCATTTGCCTGCTCTTGCACAGATACCAGTCTTGTGGGGATACAGTTTGCACTAGCACAGACATGGAGTTCCAGCCTCTCTGTGCATGGACGCCTGCCAGCCTGTATTTTGCCTGTTTTATGCACCAGTGGGCAGGCACCTCTGCTGCCTGTTTGCGTCCTGGTCCCCTGATGGGAGCATGGCCTGCTCACCCCCACCTGTGGGTTTCCTTTGCAGGGGCATCCCAGGTGTGCAGGGCAACTTTGTCCTGGCATGCAGCTGGGAAGCAGCCAGGAGGTTCAATGAGAGATCACAGCAGTGGTCCAGGTTGCAGAGTGCGCTTGCCCTGCCATATAGCTGCTGCCACAGTGACCAGCTGAGTTTGTGCTGTAGGTTGCACCTGGGCTGTGCTGTAGCAAAATATTGTGGAAATGCCTGTTCTGTTTGTCACTGTATGGATAGTTAAAAGTTGATGCAAAGTTCATAAATTAGTAAAGCTGTGCTATTATGTTTAGTTTTACATGTTTTATTACAACTGTTGCTAGCTAGCTATTTTTAGCGAAATCTTGTAAGCTCTTGAGAATGGCCAGTAAAAAGGGAAAGCTTCCATGCAACAAACAACAACTTGCTCTTTAGCTGTAACCATACATTCAGTTGCTCTCTGAATGTGGCTAAAATGCTTTGGGATGTTGTGGGAATTAGTCCTGTAATACCTGGCAAGAAGCCTAGATTTGAAATTTGGATTGGATATGTTTTGGATCAGCCACAGTAGATTTCCTAAGGGAAAGGGAAAAAGGTTACCTTGCTAATTAATTTTAAAACTGTGCTTCTGAGTTGGTCTCAGACAAAGAAACATGAATGGAGGTTTGACTACCTATTAATACATTGCTCGTGGTGGCAAATATTTTATTATTTGCTCTGTCAGTTCTTTTGTCACACCATATATTTAAAAGAAAGTTGAATAAAGCAGACTGGACAAAACTATGTATTTTAAAGAATGCAACCCAATCACAAAATAAACATTTTTTTTTATTAAGGGTTTGAAATAACTTGTTTAGTTATTTTCCCCATTACTTTTGCATGCTTCAGCATTTCCAGGTGGTCTTTTAAGCGCTGTGTGCTACCTCTTATGTGGGTGGTATCATAGTTATTTTAGTAGTACCAGTAAGGCTCTAGTCAGTGAACAATGTTTCACTGTGATGTGCAGTATATGAATGCATAACATTAAAATGGTCTTCCTGAACAGCTAACAAACTAATTAGCACATGAGGGAGAACAGCTGGATCCAGCAAACAGATTGACAGAACTGGATGGCACTGGGAAGACCATGAACAATAAGATAAAGCATAAATTGGATGACAGTTTCTAGGATAGTAATTTGGTCATATTACACAAATTTTGCTTTACATTTGACATTACAGGGTCCCACAAGCTCCATGGCAAAAGGACAGTATTTAGTTTGCAAAATCAAGCTCTGGAAGATTGAGTTACCAGAACAGTGTAAGCTGTATCTATCTTGTGCTCTGAACAGGACAGGAGTCCCCTAAGAAAAAACAAAAAGTATCTTGTAGTAATTAATTGAAGTATAACATTTAATAAGGAATTTTAAATATTGTAATGTAAAACTACACCCAAATGGGCAGGTGTCTTGAACTAATGTAGTAGGTTCTCAGTAGTGTTTCCTGAACTCTTGAGTGCTTTGGTTGACAAACTACATGGTGCTTTTTAACGCAGTACATGAGTACCTTTTTGGTGCAAATTCTTTAAAAGGAAGACCAGTTTTCTTGAGTGCAACTGAATCTCTCAGTGTGCTTCATCAGCCTTTCACCTGAGCTTTTTGCATTGCTGCAAAGACTGCTGACACTAAATTTAGGCTAAGCTGAGACTGGGTACTGTCATAATGCTTCTTGGTGTGGAAGGTCAGCTGGGTCCTGATTGACAGGGAAGTGTAGTCACTTTGCTGCTGCCTTTGTGACTTCTCCAGTGTGCCTTAGGATAGTCGTGCTAATTACTGTTCTGGCAGGAGGCCAGTGTTTTCTTGAGGCACACAAAAGGCAGAATGGAAACGACAATTCTAATGCATAGTATTTCGGGAAAAACTGAGCAGAGGGAAAGGGTACTTTTGAAGCCCAAAGGCAGTCCCTTGTCAAATCACAGAAGTGTGCTGAAAGAGTCATGCTATTAGAGCTTCTCTTACAAAAAAAGATTTTGATACTCCCTTATTGCAGAAAACTAGAAAACCGAGAGGTCTGTTGATAATAACAACTTTTCTTTTTTTTTTTTTTTTTTTTTTTTTTTTTTTTTTTTTTACTTCCAGAAACGTGGCTGCGCTTTACAGTCTGACATTGGTCAGGTTGGCCCCTCACCATCCCTAAACGCACTGTTATGCTAAACCTGCTTAATGTAAAGCCTCAGGAGACATGTCTGCATCGTACAGCAGGCTGTGATGCAAATACCCTTCTTTTATTATCCAGTATAATGATGATCTGAGCTATTATATTTACAATGTACCAGAATACTGATACTCTTCGGGCTTCAAGGGGAGAAATACAACTACAGCAAGCTGTATCAACACATTAATTCAGTATCACGGCCAAGCTCATTTCCTCAGCTGCAGTTAGTTCAGCTGCAGTGTGAACATGTGTATACTGCTCTAAGATTTGGAGCTAACACGAGATGGGAAGCTTTCTGTACCATGCATCCACTCTGCAGAGTAGATGTGTTTTTTCTCTGCTGCCATAGGGAAGGTCTGTTTTGAGCATACAAACCTGAAAGCACAGCAGGTGGGAGGTAGCCCACGGCAATAGATTTCACAGCTGCATAGCCCAGAGTCCATCTAGAGAGAGAGGGGAGATGCAGGTCTCAGTTTCTTGTAAAGCTGAACTTTCTACTATGAGTCTCTGTGCTGCAGTCAGCTGTGGCAAAGTTGAGTGCAGAAGCCAGTGCCATGGACTGCATATCACTGCTGTGCAAACTCAAATATCAGAAAGTTGTTCCTTGATCGATCCAGTGTGATAAATAAAGTAACTGCAGTGTGCTTAAATTACCAGGTTACTATACCAAATTGGATAGAATAACAGATTGAACAAGATGTATGTACTTTAACTATAGAAACAAGGGCATGGTTTTAATAAAAGGTTTGTTTGCAATAAAAAATGTCTGTTCTGTAGGGAGTTACTGTCATATAACTTAATGTGTGTTTTGATCTCAGGATCTTAGAAAAACAAATGAACTGTACTTAGCTTGTATTTTGGTTTTGTATGGGTTTAACATTTGCCCACAAGTATGGTATATGAAATCATCTAGAAAGAAAAAAGCGTATGCTTGTTAAAATCGATGGCATAGCCAGTGGAAAAAACCCCAAACAAAACAGACTGACAATATTTATTAGAAGCTAGAAATTTTAGAAGATCGTTAAACAACTAAAACAACCAAGACAAAGCTGATGATCAGGTGAGTTAAAGATAGTAAGAGTAAGCTTTTAGAGTGTAGCACGATGAACAGGGTACTCAGGCTGGTGATGTAATACTGAATCAATGTAACTTCAGATTCTAGTAAAAGATGGAAATAATAAATACATTGTAGGATTGCCTGATGACATACATTTCTTCTATAATAAGGATGTCTCGAAAATGGTGGGTTTTGCTGTTGTAAATGTGAACAAAAACTGACATGTGTGGCATCATGGGTATAGCTTGGTAAGAATCTAATTAAGAGAGCTCAGGGATTTAGTTTGAAGTTGATAGATTTTTCTCCACCAGATGCTTCATTGACTGATGCCACAGCAAACATTTCAACCTAGTTAATATTTTGTTTCTAACAGGTTCATAGAATTTGACCCATGTTTAACCCTCTGCAGATACAAGGAATGAAGATTCCAGATTTGTGGAAAATTTTTGTAGTAATTTAAGAAGTCTAAATATGAAATACTGGATCTGGCTTGTATAGGAGCTGGATTTGTAAAAGGACAGTAGAGCCCATCTGTTCTTAGATATGCTGTACTTTAAAACATATTTTTTTATAATTTCTCTCTAAAAATTAAAAGGGAATTATTTTCTTTAATAATATTGTACATTTATAATCAGTCAATTAAAAAATATTAAATTAAACTAATACTATATGGTCTTTGTAAATAACAATTGATAAACTAGTAGCCATCACTTTAATAATTGGATAGTTGCATTGATGAGGACTATTTAAAAATCATTATTTATTTCCCATTTCTTCTGTAAATGTTAAATTCCCCTTTCAGATTCACAAAATGTATCCCCTGCAGTTGGATGAGTATATGTTGGGCTCTGCACCTCCACAGTAATGGTGCGCTGTTTATAAAGGCAGATAACCCTTGCTGTATGTGCAGGAGAGACAGAGGTGGGAAATCTCTGAGAAGTGGCACTCTGACTGCCAAAGATAAAAAGAGTGAGGCTGTGTGTTGGAGCTACTTTGGCATTCACAAATGTAAGGTTTGTTGTCAGTAACTGCTGTGCAAGTGTATTGGATTAGTAAGACGCTGCTTTGTTTTTTCAGTTCCATTTCTCTTGGCGTTTTAACATGTGAGCTCAAAACTGTAACTATACCCAACACTATTTATATGTAGACACAAACATTTAACAGTATCCAATACACGTTATTATGTATGCATGCATATGTATGTTTAAAGGCCTTTGTGGTCAGGGATCTTGGTTTTGTAAATGTTCTCATCTTTGTTAACATTGGCTTGAAAAAATGCCTTTTCATTATCCATGAAATTCCATTCATCTTTGGCTTACAAATAAAATATTAGAAATCACCCTCTCCTCCCCCCACCCCTTGCATTCTTCTAGAAAATTTTGGCAGCCTTTGAAATAATAAATAGCTACACAGTGATTTTAAGCATGGGTTTGTGGCATTGCCACGATGCTAAATTAGAGTTTCTTGCATCTTCTGCACTGCTCTCTCTCCCAGAAGTAGACTGGTCTGAGCTGAAGTGTTTAACTTCACCTATGCTGCATGTGAATCTCGATGCTTGTGGTACTCTCAGAAGAGAGCATTTCTTTGTGTCAGATGATGCGCATGAGTAGCAGCAATCTCTTTTACAGAAGTGAGGGCTGAGAGTGTAGTTCCTCCTGCCGGCTCGGTTTGGGGAAGGACAGGAAATGTTTAGTGATGTAAATAACCTGATTTGTTCCCTCTCCCCTCTCATCAGTTTTCTTCTGAATCTGAACCTGCAGTTTTCCCTCTGAATTTTGGAAATTGCCTTCAGAAGACCATACAAAGAATATCACTTGTCTTGCCAGTGAAGCACAGTCTAGTGAGAATTAAGAGTTCCAGTGCAACTCTGTGTTGATTGTATTGTTGACACGTGTCCATACAGTCTTTAATTATTTGGCCAAATCCTTGTTTGTCTCATGGCAGCCAGTGAATCACATAGATACAAGAGGCGGTAGAGTTCAGGTTGCACAGACAACCAGAAATCTGTAATCGTTTTGTGCTTGACTTGCAGACTTGAATGATGATCCATCAATATCCATTATTTCTTTTAGAAATAGTAAATCTACCTATGCATGTAAAGCTAAACTGCAGACAGGGCTATAGGGCAATATATCATGACGCTGAGTTCAGTTCAGGAGAATTTAAGGAGTTATTCTGTGATAGATTTTGATCTGGTTTTTAGATGGAGTAGTTTTGTTGATCTCTTGCTGCCACAGAGCTGTCAATAATAAACAAGTTAGCTTGACAGTGTGCTCTGATGTCAGTTTTGAGAAGAGGTCAGACCACATTCTGACCACATTGCATACCTAGAATGTGCTCTGTAATTTTGCCTTTTTTTTCAGCCTGTTGACTGTAAAATCTCTTTATCAGCCTATTGTGTTAGCTCAGATTATTGCTGATTTGGAGTTCTAATAGGATGTTTGAACAAGTGTGACAAGCTTTTCTTTCCTCCACGCTTTCAGTTGAGGTTAAGAGGGTTTATATTTAAATAGCTATTGGATGTATTAGATACAAGCATGTACTTAATATTTTTTTTCCCTTCAAAATTTAGAAAATTTTCTTAACAGACATTCCAAGATTTGAAATAGCAATGGCCAAGAACAAGATTGTCTCTATTTCAGGTGGATCAGCAGCTAATGGAAGTAGTTTGTTTTCATGTTTTGTCAAAATAATGATAGTTGTTTACAACCACTTGTGAAATAAGTTGCTTGAGATTTTCTACTCAAATGTCTTGTAGTGTTTTTCCTTCCCTTCTTTATGCTACTGCTCCTAATAGTGACATTTTTTAGTCCAGAGAAGGTCTTTGAATAGAAGGGGGAGATTTTTTGATCATTTTTTACTCATTATCTGCAGTTCAGGGTTGCAAATAAGGAGTTTCTTTGTTCATTGGTCTATGCAGTTCCTCAGTTAAAAAAGGTGTGGGTTCTAAGGGAGTAATTCAGTCTGCCTTAATTTGCTCTTTCTAGCAGCCTTTTTGTTTCCGGTGTATTAAGAAGGGGTGCCAATCTCAACTGGTCCAGAAAGTTTGGGTATGAGGGAAGAGGACTGAAGAAAAGAGAGACAAGAATGGTCTTGGCAGCTGCCTCTACACTTTCTTCCAAAACTGAATCATAGAAATGTCAATCTAAGGAAGAAATAAGTAGTTGGAAGGATTACAAGTGCAGGATGCTGTTGACCTGTGTAGCCATAATGAGGAAAGTACACAGCTGGTCTGTGGTCAGCAGTAGCACCGGGATAACCTTTATTAGAAGTTTGATAAGGCAGACAACCAGTGAGAAATTGTACTGCAGGTTGTCTGCTGACCATATGGTATGGGAACCCATGTTCATTCCTTTGTGGTGTATAGGTGTACCTTTATCATCTCTTGACACATTTGTCCATCTGTTCCTGAAAAATATCCAGTGGAAGTCTGTGTCCTCCCTTCCTTGATGTCAATTTCCAGTCATCCTCTCCCCTTGCTATTAGAAACTGTTTCTGAAATGGAAATGAAGTTTTCTTTGCTTCTAGTTAAACCATTTTCTTCATACTTGGTAGATATTAACATGGATCACAGTGTTCTTAAAGCAACTGCTCAGCTGTTGGAAGAGTGCGGTTATGCCTATTCCCCTGTACAGTCTTTTGTTTTCCAGAAAACAAGTGAAGTCCCTTCATTCTTTCCTTGTAGGTCCTGTCTTACATGCTTAGTTGTTATCGGTATTTAGAGTTACCCTACTTAGATTAATATTCCAGGAAGAAAATAGCAAGGTTGCACATGCATACACTAGCTGTAGCAGATCAGATAGACACCAATGGGTACCTAGTGTGATACTTGTGTAGAGACAGCTTGTGACGAGCCTGAGATGTGGTGGCTCTTACCAAACAGATTTTCTTTTAGGAAGCTCCCTATCCCCAGATACGCAATGCTAGACTACAGACAGTGTTTCTCTGATTGGAAGTTGGCACAAGTTTGTCATTAGCAGACTGAAGTGCGTCACTCTGGTAATTAATATCAATATATGAATAAATATAGAATTACAATTGTTCTGTATTAATTTTCTATGCTAAGTGACTAATTTCCATAATTATCTGTCTCACAGTATTGGCTGGATCCTGCAAAGACGCTTGCTGAACATAAAGAATTGATAAAAAGTATGTATTTAATTTGAACTTAAAGTATCTGAAGATGAAGTAACAGAGGCAATGTTCAGTGTAAACAGCCTGCACAACATTTATATTACAGTCACAACAGATTGATAGTTCTTGAACAAGTTTGTTACTGCAGTTCATAACTATCAAAATTTCACACATAGATTCCAGATACCATAATTTCCCAGTAATTTGTGTGGTTATGGTCCAGAGTGTGCTTAACTGTGCTTAAATTTTATTTTATAATAATAAATGGTGCTATACTTAACATCTATCATTGATTTTATAGTAGCTGTGATATCTCTATCATACTGTACTGTACCATAACCAAGTTAAATTGCTTTTTGTTTCTGAAGGTAAAAGTAGTGCCTCTTACTGATAATAGTGTCTGCTGTTACTATCACTCTTCAGATATCACAGATTCAAGATCTGTTATTTTTATTATAATTAAAGAACACAATAAGATTATTTTACTTAAGAATTTGGAGACCTATAAAAAGATATAGAAGCATCTTTTTATTCCTAACATGCATGTAATAAAAGTTACTGTTAAGTTTCAGTAATGAGTTAACTGAATCTTTCAGGAGAATAAAATTTTTAAAAGGTGAATTAGAAAAGCTTTTCCAAATATTTCTTAGTTAAAGTGTTCCATAAAGTGCTTAGTTAAGTTGCTCCATAATATATTTGAAAGTATGAAAGGGATTAGCATTCAGTATTATTAGTTATGACAGGGAATCCTTTTCTGTGCACAACTGCATTTTTCAAAAAGTTTCAGTGGAAAAAGTATCTAAAGATGAAAATCAAGCAGTAAAAACAAATCTTGGAGAAATAGTAAGTTAGCAGTGAAATCTAAAGTTAAATCTTCAAAATAAGCAAAACCTCCAAGTAAATAGACAAGCTGTAAATAAATAAAAGACTAGAAAAATAATAATAAAAATCCTTTTCTTTCTTTTTTTCTGCATGAGTAATGAGTGTAGGAGTATGGATTTGCTATGTGGATATAAGATTTTTCTGAAATCTTCAAGTTTAATAAAATAAGATAGGCATTTTCGTAGCTGATTTGTGGCCAACTACAATTAACAGTTCATAACAACTAACTTTTGCCAAAATATTTTTTTCCTTCAGCTGGACCACCATACACTCTGTATTTTGGCATTAAGTTCTATGCAGAGGATCCGTGTAAACTTAAAGAAGAGATAACAAGGTACAGTATTCAGCAGGAGTGTAGTCTGTTGATTTCAGGGTAGTAATCTATTCCAGCTAGATGCATATTGTTGTGGTGTGGCTAGGTTGTTGGTTGGGGTGTTTTGTTTGTGTGTTTTCTTTTCTTGAACATGTGAACATTTTTGCTTGAGCATGTATGTGGAGAAAGATAATTGTGACTAGCCTAACAGTGGTTGGTACAGCCAGCTATTCAGAAGCTCAAGATGAAAAGGTGCTCTCTGATGCATCAGAAACCAGAAGGATTTGGTGTGCATTTGTGATTATTTTATTCTGAGGAATACATTGTCTGCATTTATATTGTGCTATAGTCAAGTTTAGAGTTTCTTTGGATATCAAATATAAATACAGGGAATTTCTTCTTTATTGGCCGTAGTTTAAATTCCAGACTGTTTTTCAAGAGGATTCCTTTCAGTGTTCCTAAAAATATGTGAAGGAAATTGGAGAGTTGCATGCATTTGATTCTTTTACCAAAGCTCAGCCTCTGCAAGATCTGAGGATGCACACACTACCACATGCATACACATCTATTTGTCTGAACTCTTGTGGACAAGGTTTGCTCAGACAATTAGTTTTAGGTTCAAAAGGAAATTTGAGAATTTTGATGGGTAGGCAGACAAAATTGGTGTGCTGGCTTGCATTAATAAATGCCAAAATATTTATTTTGATGTCCTGGGTATATGACACATGAGAATTCAGTAGAATGAATGCAGGGGTTTTAATTTTCCTTAATCAAAGATGGCAGTTTGTTGTAGTGCAGGCAGAATATTTTTCTTGTACTAGAGTGAGAAATTTTTTTTTTTTTGTTTCCACACTGGCACAGCAGGAATGGAAGTCTCAAAAATAACAAGATTGAGACTGACCATGTAATAATAATAAGCACTGTGACTCTGCAGGTAAAAAAGTGTAAACTGGACATGATGTCATGCCCCTGTACCATGAAGGTTTGCATTTTCCCATACTTTTCCAGAAGCACTTTGAGCCCTGCTCACAGGGGAAGACAGATGGCCCTGGGAATGGAGCTTTGGCCACTGAACCTGTTGTGGTTGATGCTTGGGAGGCAGGGTGGATTACTGTCTGGGAAATGCCAGGGCTAAATTTTCAAAAACTGTTTCTCTTTGCCTTGTGATAAGGTCAGTCAGTGATTTGCACTCTGATTAGGTGTGTCAATCTAGTCGAGAAGCATTCCAGTATAATTAGTAGCCCCTGTTCATGGCTGCACAGTGTTTGGTCATTCAGAATTTGCACCTTAAAATGTACGGAGGGAGAGCATAAGGAAGTGATATTGCTAACAGAACACATTGAGTAGTGAAACGTACTCAGTGTTTCTGCACGTTTATTCCTGTAGGCTCTTAAATCTTCAAAAGAAGGTATAACTTTTTTGAAAGAAATATAATAATAATAAAAACTCCTTCTGCTTAGGAGGGATCAAAGGCTGTATTTTTCTTTATAATAATTTCTGCCTAAGTGTGTAATGCCAATGGTGTGTTAAGTGTTTTGTGCTAACTGATGTGTGCTTGTCATTTTAAGGATATGAGAGCTCTGTTGTTACTAGGTGTTGATGATCTGTGGTGTTACATGATTACTGTTTGCAAATAATGAAAACCTATCAGTTTTGTAATTGCTTCACAGTCTGGCTTGTAGGCAAAAGCTAACTCTGCAGTGATGCATATTAACATTTGCTGGATGTGTTTGCTAGAGCAAAGCAGGCTTAGGCACTATTATGTATGCATGACATACTTGACAGCACACAAGATGAGAATGCTTTAGCTACAAGTTTGGACTAAAGGCCGTGTTTTGTGAGGACCTTAGTGGCTACTGTGGGAACTGAGATTGTTCACTTTATAGGAGTCACTTAAGCACTTAACAGTTGGCTCCGACGTTTTTTTTGCAGTTTCCCATCCTGCTTTATTTTGAGACTACATGGGAATGCAGAAATACCTGCTACATGGAAAAGTAATTTTTAGCATCACCTGGTATGAAGTTCTGCATTGTAGAGATGGAGAAGTGCTAACAGAAAGATGGATGCATATCAGAAATGCATTTAATGTTAAAAAGGAGATGCTGTGTACTCCACAGTAGATGTAAAATCACCTTTGTCATCATAATTCATACAGAGATTTGAGATTCGTCTGGATAGGACTGGCAAGCGTAAGCTAGAAGCCATACTGAGGTATTGCTTGGAGTGAAGGAACAGTGAGGATATGTGCTTTGTGTTGTGTAATGACATTTCCAGAAATTTCTTATGCAGTATCCTGGTCCTTTAAGGTGGAGAATATTAGCCATTCTTTTAAGGATGGACATTCCTGCTATAGTATCTGTCACAGCACAAGTTCTGGGGGCTCCTTAACCATAAAGACATTGGTATTCTTATTCAGAGGCTTATCTGGGCTGATCAAGTCTAGTAAATTTGATTGACTCTTAAATGATTTATGGATCAGCTATCATGTATCTACGTGTTTGCAAACTGTAGATGCACTTTGAATTTACAGATGATTCCAAGGTGCTTTCATGAGTAACTTATACTAACAGAATAAATCATTTGAGGTGTAGCTGAATGGTTCTGTGTAGATAAAGTTGAATTAGTGAGTAGTGAAAAAGCTATATGCTTGTATCAATGACCATTTTTTTCTTTAACAAGTTACCTTCTCGGTATTGTTACCTTTGTAGGAACTTGGTGCAAGAAATTAGTTTAGGGTGATGTGAAACACTGCATAAATCTCTTGTAATAAAACCAGACCAAATCCAAACAGCATTCAAAAGCTTTCCTATAAATGAGTGTGGGGAGTTGCAAAACCAAGCAGATCCTTCATATGATGGCCTGTTTTCTTGTCTTTTCCATCTGTTTTGTGCATATTGTTTCGTTGTCAGTGGTCTCAGTACATGCCTCATCAAGTGTAGCAGTAGGTTATGACTTTGAAAATTACATTTTTACCCCTGCTGTCTCCAAGGAGAATACCCTGTGCCATGACAGATACAGTTAACTGCTAATGGTATGCCTATCCATCTTTTTCATGGGGTATGGACTTCATTAAATCTGTTTGGTGCTCTAGAGTTGGTACTGTTATGTGGAGAGGGACCTTTGAATAAAGAAGTATCCAATACCCAGTTCTCCTTTTTATTGATCCACTGATCAGGTTAGACTTTGGCCCTTTGATAGGTTTCTTGTTAATTTTTTCTGATTTCCAGCCCTTTTCCCCATTTCCTGAATGCTCTATGAAAGTCAAAAGAGAAATCACATTTTTAGGAGGAAAATGATTTGTATCTGCACAATATAAGCAGATGGGAAAACTACAGAGTGCTCCCCCCTGGAAGTTCTTCCACTAGATTAATCTTAGTTGTTATTTCAAGGTCAGAAGGTGAAAAGTCATTCAGAAAGGTATTATGGTTTTTGACTGTCACATGGTTATGGTACATGACATGTCTTCAGTAAACTGCAACGTGATGAAACATTACTTGGTGAATCAGACTCAATACTGAAACATTATCTTTGTTTTCTTTCTGTGTTTTAGGTATCAGTTTTTTTTGCAGGTCAAGCAAGATGTTTTACAGGGCCGATTGCCTTGTTCAGTCAACACTGCAGCACAGCTGGGAGCATATATAATTCAGTGTAAGTTCTTCTGGCCAACTGAGAACTTATTTCTTTTAATCCTGCATTACGATTAATATTAAGTGGTGAAGACTTCACTAACACTTTATGCATTCATTTCAGAACAGAACAAAACTAGTATGACTGATTTCAGCTAAAGAACTGCAAATAGATTACCATTATGAACGATAATATAGAAGCAGTATAGAAGTTAATGTAAAGAAGAAACTGAAAAGTCAGTCTGAAGACTCTGCCCAGCACTATTTGCCTCGCTGAGGAACATCTTATCATGTACTTAGGACTTCATGACTTACTCTGCATTGCATGTAGATTATGACAAAACCCTCATCAGAAGGTTTACAGATATGATGGGCTATTCACAGCCTCCAGCCAACAAAGTCTCAAATAACATGTCAACATGAATAATACTAAATAACAAATATTAAATATGAATAATATTAAATAACATGTCTATATGAATGCATCTATGCTTGAATGTAGGATGTGTTTTGACCTGAAGTGAAATGTTTAAGTTCTATCTGTCATTTATCTGCATTCACCCATCAGTAGTTAACTTTTCAGAAGTGGATGTTCTATCCTGCATAGTGGGTAGCAATCAATTAGAACGGAGCTGTCCATTTACTAGTTAGTTATTCCTTCACATTACAGCTCAAGCTCTGTATTCAAACACAACTGGCAACCAGAAATCAGTGATGAGGCATGCTGGGACCTGTATCTAAAATTTGTTCTATATTAAATTTAGATTTCTCATCAGTGATATGTATTAAGCAAAGATTATTTGTATTATTTGTGTTCCAACTGTGACTCAGCCACACTTATTACAACATAAAAAGTAGCCCTCCTTTCATTTCCATTTTAGAATAACAAGGCAAAATAACGTGTATAAAATGAGTGAGGCTTGTACAGAATTTCATGATGTGTTATATATGTTTCTCAAAAGCTGAAATGTCAAGCTGTTTCTAGTTTTGTACAATTATTAACTTCATTTTGCCATTTAAGAAACGTGACATGTCATACTCTGAAAAACTGTTTGCAATGCACATTTCACTTTACTGGCATATGTGCCTTCCCTAAAAAAAATACTTCAAGTATGAAGCAAGAAATTATTTAATGATGGTAACAGCTTAATTGTATTATTAGAGTAAAAAGAGTAAATTCTTATCCTTTAGTCATTTTGTAAGATGGTTAGAGTAGGGGAGCTGTTGTTTTGGTATAAAATCCTGTTCCTGTGATTCTAATCTCTGATACTCTATTGGAAAACAATGAGGAAGCTCACATGAGAGAGGAGGGTTGAAGTGTGGCAAAGGTTGCATACAGTGGGTTAAGTTTGCCCTAGAACCAGCAAGCATACATTCCCATTTACTCTATAAAAAACTTTGTCCTTTTGATTGGGGTCTACAGTTGTTCGAAGTATATAAAGATAACTGTGAAATGTCTGTGTCAGATACTGAAAATATGAACCCACAGCATCAGCACTGAGATAAACAGCCCTTCTTAGGTTCATATGCCAGACTGCTTTTTTCTTTTCCAAATTGAGTTAAAATGTGTTTGTGGGAATTCTGTATTGGCTGAGAAGCTCTGCTTCCGTAATGATATCAGTGGTGTCTTTCCCCATGGAGTTAACAGCTTCTGAGATCCAGAGGAGGAGACAGGGCCATGTGTTCTCCCAGAGTCCAATATGCATGTCCTGCTACAGCCACGGGCCCTGCTTTCACTGTTCAGGTTGTTCCTGGATGTCGTCTTTGGTCTCTGGGCAGATCCTGTCCTTAGCACATGAATAATTTTTCTCCTTTTGTGGTCAAAGACTGCAGACTGTTATAGTGGTGATGGTGGAGAAATCAGCACCCATGGCACAGTTTGCAGAGTACACCAGTCTTCCTATTGGGAATGCTGGAGTTGTTGCTGTTATAGTTATTACTGTTCTTATTCCTGCTATGGGCAAAAACCATGTCATTTTTATGGAGGTTTTCTAAAGAAACTTCTCAACATCTCTACTGAGCAGATGGCTGTCTTGTTCTAGAAACATAGTTAAATTCTGGAAAGAAACATGAGTTATTAGATGAGTCTTCTTAGCTCTTGAAGTCTTCATTTGGCTATGTTTTTGGCTTAATGGGCTGTTGTGGTTTAAGCCCAGCTGCCAGCAAAGCACCACGCAGCTGCATGTTTGCTCCTCTCCCCTGATGGGGTGGGGAGGAGAATTAGAAGAAAAATGTAAAACCTTGTGGGTTGAGATACAGACAGTTTAATAGGACAACAGAAGGAGAGAGAAAATAATAAACAATATTACTAATAAAAGAATATATAAAGCAAGTGATGCACAATGCAGTTACTCAACACCTGGCACCCCATGCTCAGCCCATTCCTGAGCTGTGATCCCTCCTCCCCCTAACCGGCTCCCGGTTATATACTGGGCATGATGTCATATGGTGTCATATATCCCTTTGGTTGGTTCATTAGGGTCAGTTGTCCTGGCTGTGCCCTCTCCCAGCTTCTTATGAACATTAACCCTAGCCAACCAAACCTAGGACATTGACATTGGATTGACATTGGATAGAAACATTCCATGGAACTTTTCTTAGAGAAGCTCACTCAGAGTTGTTAAAAAATTGAAATACTAACTTTAACAAAGTTTCTCAGATGCAATTATAGTTAAGATCAGTAGAAGCAAGTTTTAACCAAGGTCCATATTTATTTTATAATTGCATTGCAACATATAAACTGGTTTGACTAATGTATGCAAATTCAGGGTAGTTTCAAAGAAAATTATATCAGCTATTCACCTTGTTCTTTTCTTCAAGAAATTTTTTTTTTTTTTATTTATTTATTTTGAAAGTTAATTCAATGTTCTGGAAATACATTGATATTTTATTGAAAAATGAAGTCTTGTGTTTCCTCACAACGTTGTTTACCCTTAGAAGGACATACCTCTAGGTGTCTCAGGATATTTGTCTTCATTTGTATTTCTGCACTGGCATTTATGTTAGGAGTCCTAGCAAGAGTATGGATCAGTTCTGTCTGTAATATTGCAGCTTGTCATGAGGGCATAGATACTCCAAAACCCAGACTTTTCTTTTATACTTTTTCTACATATGCTGCCAAATAATACATGTAATCAAATTTCAACTTTGGTGACTTGGACCAAATTATACCTAGTCCTTTAGAAGTGGTAGATTTCCTGTCAAAATCTCAGCTCTTTGAACCTTCCATTTCTCTTTTAAAATGACTGAAAACTGTATTTCTTGGTTTTATGTGGGCTAATATGAACAGTTCTGTACTGTCTTTGGGTTTTTTAACTGATTGCATGGTAAATTGACAGTTGGAGAAAGGTGGCTTGGCACCAATAGGTGGATTTTATAACATATTTTTTGGTTAACATGAAGTGTTGAAAATAGGTGACCTTTCTTTTCTTCTTGTGTCCTCTAGCTGAGCTGGGGGACTATGACCCATATAAGCACACTACAGGTTATGTCTCGGAGTACCGCTTTGTGCCAGACCAGAAGGAAGAGCTGGAGGATGCCATAGAGCGGATACACAAAACTCTGATGTAAGAATTCAGTACTGTTGGAAACATTCGGAGGTGCTTGGTAGGTGGGGAAGGGAGTAGCTTGTGGTACGGAGTGGAGGTCTCTAGACCCAAGGAAAGAATGCAGGGCATCCAGTTATATGCATCAGAAACAGAAAACATTTTACGTAATTGGAGTTGTTCTTTTAGGAACTGAGTAGGACAATAACTGGAAATACAATGTGTGTCAGACCTAGGTATGGTTATTTCAAAACCAGCAGTTTTGATAGCGCTCTGGTTTCCTCTTAGCTTTGTAGTTAAAAAGAATGAAATAAAAATCTGTGAGTTCGGTTCCCCGTTCCAGGACAGATTTCCTGCATAATTTTGGACAAATTGCTTATTATGACCATGCCTCAGTCTACTGTCTGTAACATGGGGATAATATTTTTTCCTTTGTATTCAAATGAACTGTTAGGACAAAACCACTTTTAATCTAATAATGTGCAGCACTTGGTACAATGCAGCCTCTATTTTCCTGCCAGATCCTTAGCTGGGGTAATGAAGGAGTGCTTGTAGCAACCTGCATGAATCTTTGCGGGAGTGACTTACATTGAAGGAGGTACCAGGAAAGCAGTTTGTATGCCCATGGTTTAATTTATAATCTCAGTTGCAACATCTGCATGAATTAAAGACATAGTTTATTTTTACAAGCGTAAAGTCCCTTCCTTTTATTAACAAACATATCTTACAGAAAACATATTGGCAGTGGTCAATATAAAGGACTGTACTGTAAGGAAAAACACATAATTTGTTAGAAAAAAAGGAGCACCTAGAAACAGAGTCATCAGGCAGTGCTGAATAACACAGGGCATTCAAAGTGCTGGTTTCTGGACAAAACCAAAAAAAATTCCAGAAATTTGCGTGTGACCGTAAAGCAGTCGGAACAGAGGGTATCTGGTGGGTAATATTAAAAAATTATTTTAATTTTGGTTTAAACTGAATGGATCACTACAGAAGTTTGCAGGCATTGAAACTATACCTGATAGCATTTCTTATGAATAAGAAGGAGCTGAGAAGGCAGGAATCAGCTAGAGTTATGTTACTTGGCAGGGTCAACTGTTGAAGAGATTGCAGGAGGAGCATAATAGGCATACTGCAGACAGGACAAAGGAGAACTGCAGAGATCTGAAATATGTATGTCAACAGATGTGGGACATTCATGCAATCCCAACAACCTTTTGGAAAGCTGGAAAAGACAGATTAATTTTTCTAATAGAGACTGCAAAACTTCAATTCTCCATCTTCCAGTTAGGGGAATAATAGTCACCTTGGACAAAAACCATTTGATTGTACTATCACTTGACATTCTGGATAATCTCTGCCCTATGGTAGATCCCAAGATGCTGCTTTGGGAGTCAGTTGATTTTCTCTCAGACTGCAATTTGTGCATACAATGCCTTCCCTTGATTTCCTGTCAGTGGAATGGGAAGCAAAACTGTAATAAGGACAACCAGGAGATGGACTGGAGTACCCAACAGATAAGCAAAGCAAGATAAGAACTAGTAACCTCTGGCCCCATGGGTTCTGTCAGTGCTTGAGAGAGGAACAACAGCAACAACATAGAGAGGAAAAATATAGCAATCTCACAGGGAAGCTGGAGCAAAGAACATAATTTCCAGTAAAGAAAGCAGAGCCAGAAAGTGATCGTGTGTGATACAGCTTAAATACTAGATGCATTTACGGCAGCTGTGTAAGTAGTCTTCTTAAAGAGGTTCAACTGTACATTGTTTGTATGTGTTCAAAAAAGATTAAAAAATTCCAGGATATTCAGAGTCACATTTTGTCCCTGTTACTCTATATTAGAAATGGCCTTCTATGTATGAAATGCTTTCAGTGAGATTAGTTTTAGACTGATGTATGAGTAACAGAGGCCAGACCACCACTAACTGTGTGAGAGCACTGCAAAGTCAGAGAGATTTGGCTTTGCCACATGCTGTTCCAACTGTTAGACAGTGCCCTCAAAAATGCAAAAAGTGAGATTGGTTTTGAAAATAAAACATGTGCCAGAAATTCCATCAATCATATGTAAATAAACATTTACTTTCTTATTTCAAAATCATGTTTCTGGTAAGTGTTAAAGAGGCTTGTTGTAACAAATCCAAGTTAGGTGCAATTGTGATACAACCATTTATTAAGGTGAGAGCAATAGGAAACATTTTATATGTTCATCATACCCTTTGCCAAAGTAATGTAGAGGTAATCAGAGCTAGCCATCTTGTATGTAGGTCTAGATTTCTTGATTCTGTTGCTATAATGAAGCCACAGTCTGGATAAAGGTTAAGTAATTTCTTGCCTGTAGTTTTGCATGTTAGTGTTATTTGCACCTTGTTTAATGATAATAGGTATCAACAGAGATAATAGGTATCAACAGAGACACTGCTGTGTTCTCTTTGAAAAGCTCTCCTGTAATTGGAACCTGTGCCACTTGCCACATTGACCTGAGCTTTCTCTTTCAGGGAAGACTCTGTTGTTCAATAATTATTTGTGTGGTTGCCTGACTGTCTTACAGTAATTGATGTGTTACAGAGAACCTTACTACAGGCCTTTTTGTGAAGTAAAAACGTACTGTTTTTTCTGTTCCAGGGATTGGAAACTGAGTCACAGAGAGTTTTGTTTGATTCAACATCACAGAAGTTGTGTTTGAGAAATGAAACTTGAGATGAATTGCTATGTACCAGGCCACCGATACTAAGCAACCTTTGTTTATCTCGAGTTTCTGTAGACATTAGTGTAGTAAATCAGATGAAGACCATTTGCCTCAAAAAGTTTATAACCTGGAAGATGAGATTCAGGAGCCAGGGGAACAGTGGTTGCAAAGAGCAATGATAACTGTCTTAACACTGTCTCTGGTGTTTTTATATGCTTACTGATCTGGAGCTCTGATACTCTTTTGCTGCTTGGCTGCAGTTAGGTGTCAGGGATTTAGCAGCATCAGAAAAGAGTGAAACTAAGGTGTACCCATTGCTAGTTCAGCCTGTCGTCATCAGCACCGCAAACATGGACTTCTGCACGGTGACAGTGATCTCTTTAGTTAAGAAATTTGAAGATAGAATGGCTGAGGGCATATCCCAAATTACCTACTAACGACATTTTAGGGATGGGTTTGTGATATGGTTTGGAAGAAATTCTTCATTCTTTCTGGAGCCTAGCATGGAAGTGCCCGGGTTTTTTGCAAGACAGCTGTGGCACTGTGTGTACCTTGCTTCTGCTAGTTATGTCCAGATAAACTGGTTTTGGTTGCAGGTTATCTTGCAGTTTTTTACACAGCACAATAGCTATTCAGGGATTCATTCAGGATGCAGTTTTTTGAGCAAGTTTCTAAATCCAGTAAAGTGAGGGAAGTCAAAGGTGTTGGTGGGGTTTTTACCACATCAAGCCTCTGCAGCCTTCCTGTTGTGATTGTGGTCCCATCTATAAACCAGCATGACAATCCCAAGTTCAGATACCAGGGTGAGATGACCTTATGTTGTCATGCACATCTCAAGGAGCAAGCAGTGTTTTCAGAGCTTGCACATGAGGAAGGAGACACTCATGGTGTTGAAGGAGGGATATGATCCCTCACTGCAAATGGGAGAGCTTGTGTTGACCCTCTGACATTGCCCGTTCCAGACGGCAGCAGATCTGGGACTAACTGATACTTGGCAAGTCAGCCATTCCTGTATTTTGAATCGATGTTATATGCTGTCAGTGAGGCATAAGTAAAGCTTAAATGCCCCTGATAGGTAGCTTTGAGAGTAGCTTTCAAGATTGTTTAGGGCCTTCAGTGGCACTCAGGTGCTCTTTGTCCCTCTAAATGAGCGGAACATGTCAGCTGCAGGACTGTTACATTGCCTGCTCTGTCATTACCAACCGCTTCAGTTTTGGTGTTATTGGTGTGTATTCAGGTTGTATGGTGCTGAGGAGTATTTTTGTTTTCATACAAGTCAAAAATGAAACACTTACTCTTTGTAATTGTGGGAATTGTTTCAGTCCCTGACATGCCCCTCTCACCTTTAACATTCTGTCTTCTCCATCTGCATTTGGGAGAACTTCCTTCAGCTTTCATCTGCTTCCTTCTGAAGCTCCACTGACATCTTCTTTAATATTTTTGCAAATACACTTTCTTATAAATGATGTATTATTGTGAAAATATTTATACATGTGCACACATTTATTTGACATTTGAACCTTTTGGTACTTTCAGAGACAGGTGAGAATAGCGGGGTAAGCACATCAGGTTTTTTTTCTAAGTATGGTCAGTAAGGAAACACTAGCAGCGGTATTTAAACTGGTGTTGGATACTAGCATTAATTGAATAATGGGGTAATCCACTTTGCTCAGGACTGATATTTAGCCTGACTGGGAACTCAGTAAGACAGTACTGCTCCAGTGAACATTTTGCTTACATTTCTGAGAGGTACCAACAAGATTTTTAAAAAAGCAGTGGAGTAAATTCTTATGGCAGAAGTGGATAAAAGACATGTCAGATGTGACGGTGCTGACATGCTGAATATCCAGTGTTCTGCATATTCTGAATACAGAGATGAATCACATGTCTACTGGGGAATACAGCTTTTGAAGAAAGGGATTTCTTTAACAAGCTTCAGGTCTGCTGCTTGACATGCGGAAACAAACCCTACAACTCAGAGAGAGTTATAAAGCAGGCATGTTTATTCCGGCCAGGGTGCAAGGGGATTTTCTCCACAACGCCTGCACACCGTCTTGGAAAGTAGCCAAATATTTATTATACCAAAGCTTACATATTCATTAGAAAAGGCCGAGTTATTACAATTAATTCAGGGAATAGGTGTGGTGTGATTATTATAATTATTTCTCATAACTCATTTGCGTATTCTGAGCATGCGTAGTAGAAGTATGGTGAGGGTCTTCGGTGATCAAAGGAGAAGTCAGTGGTCCTCTTTATGGTGTCTGCTCTTTCGAGGGCATGTGCTGTGAAGTAAAGTCCAGGTGTCTTCCTATATCAGGGAGGTCATCCTACCTAGATGGTATAGATGGTATCTCTGGGTCCTTTTGTTCGAGTTCCTCTTATCTTACTTTGCCTAAGTGCCTACTGAGGTCTTTGAGTCTGTTATCAGTGAGTTATCTTTTTACTTCATACCCCAGGGCTACCTGCTACTTTCTTATCATAGCCAATCCACTAACTGCCTGCTAGGCTACACTGAATCTACAAAACAGTCTGGGCAAGCAGGATTCTTAAACAACATTCAGAAATCATCATATGTTGCTATAAGTAAATAATTTGCAAGGAAAGTGGTTATTTCTTTGTATCATGCTTTTCCAGGAGTCCATGGAAAGAAAGGCTTACACCTGAAATGGCATCAGTGCTGCTGTGTGAATTAAGATGGACTGAAGCAGCCCATCTCCTACATACAAAGAAGGCATTTTAAATATCTCTACTGCTGTATTCATGCTAGCACTGCTGCTTCATGTCTTCCATGTTGGATGAGTTTTTTGCCTTGCTAGACATAACACAAAGTTGAGAAAACCTAGAAAATAGCTGCTAGGCTGGAGAGAATGGGAAGAAAAGAAATAAAGAATATCCAAATTGCAGGACTTTTCCAGGTCTTGAGTCAAAATGTTGAGCTCTTCCTTCAGGCCTTGAATTTGAAAGGTAGCCAAATGCAATGAAGTATTTCCCTATGAGAGCACAAGGGTGAAGTAGGAGATTTTTGGGTTGATATTTTCACAAGAGGTGCTGTACTTTTCCAGTAGCTTTCAGGGAAGACTTAAAAGGAGCGAGGATGAAAGTTCAGTTCCAGCTGTTTCAGGCTTGCAATAGTGTCTTGTTCTTGTTATTAAGGGAACAAACCAATTTCTGAGGATAAGTCTGTGGAAAGCTTTGAATTTATTTAGTCATTCTCTTCATCAATGATGTCAAGTATGTTTCTAGTAGTGAGGGATTTTTTTCCCCACCAGTTTTCCCCTATTGTTTCCTGGCAGCATGCAGCTGATGGTAGTTTTTAACTGATAAACTGATAGATGCAGGTAGGAGTGCAAGCTGAGTCTTTGAAACTGGTGATCTCATTAGTGAGGCTCCAAACTTTGTTTTCACAGTAGCAGACTTGGGTATTACCAGTTGGTGTGAGTTCCAGTGGGCAAGATTTTATGAGGAGTACTTTGTGATGTCATGAACCCTGCTTTTAGAAATTCTTTGTAGCCTCAGCACTGCTATGGGGAAATAGTACTCAAGTCAAGCATTACATTCCTGATTTATTAATAATCATGTAGTTATTGAAAAAAGTTATTTTGCATATTCAAGCCTAAAAATGGAATGCCTGAAGTGTGTTTGTGACAACAGGGTGATTAGCCACTGTAGTAGGCATGCATTGTATATATGATAGCTTATGTCTGTGGTAGGGTCCAATCTCATTTAGAGTGAGCAGAAGTACAGTGCTGAAGGGATAATGACAGTCTAAACAAATTGTAGGAAGGTTTGCATACCTGTCCAGCAAACTGTTATTTATTAATATGATCTGTTTTAATATATTGGCTGTAGGCACGAAGTTCTTAGGCAGAGTTTTGTTTACAGGGGTCAAGTTCCTGCTGAGGCAGAAGTGAACTATTTAGGGGTGGCCAAATCCCTGGAAATGTATGGAGTGGACCTCCACCCTGTCTATGTAAGTATTGTTTAAATATTTTAAACTTGGTAACAATGAAAAAAACCCCACTTGTACTAATATGAGGGAGAGTATTTGTATAGTTTAGTTGGCACAAAATAACTTGGAAGGAAATACTGTACTTAAATGCAAAGGAAGACATTTACAGACTGAGGGGATTCAGTTATTGATACATGCATTTCAGATTAAAGGCTGTGATTGTATTACACCTATAAAAGACAATCGGTTATATTCTGGAAGAACCAATTCAGATAAATAAGAAGTAATTAGTGCAAATGTCAGGAGAGATAAGCTTATAACCTTTGCTTCTGACACAAGAATTTGCACATTATTCTTGTGTATATAACAGCAAGTGTGTCCTGAAACCTTTTCAATACCATTGCAAAAACTATGCTGAGGTAGCAGCAGCATGTCTAGCTTTTTAAATATTAATTGTGAAGGTTTTGCTAAAGATTCAGATTATGTTTCCAGCTTTTCCTCTGCTGTATCATGCAGCATTGCAAGTTGTTTGTATTGCCTCAGCAAAACCCTCCATTTCTGTAAAACAGCATGTATGTAGGAATTGGATCCAAGTCATCACCTAATGGCTATGTGCTCCTGGTGGAAACATCATTCTATCTTGTTTGAATAATTGAACTTGTGGCAGAAAGAAAATCAGAAGTTCACATGGGAAGTTGTTATGTAGATAGGTCACTGAGTTAGGTATCAGTATTTCGTAAATTTATTTGAAAGAAAATACAGAAATCAAGATACTACCAGAAGATTAGTTATGTATTTTCTGCTGAAAATTTTGTAGCCCACAATATGAAGAATTTTTTAATATGCCCTGTGGCTTAATTGTACTCATAAAACATGCTCTGTGCCCATCCCATCCAAAGAAAGCTGGGGGTGTTACTGGAACAAGATGTAACATGATCCAACGAAATTGTGTTAAATCAGTACAGCCTGAAAACTTTTTTTTTTTTCTTGTAGCTTGTTTTTACTGTGCAGTGAGATCCCTGCCTGGGTAGTGAGGGCTGAGTTGTAATATGTCCAAGTCTAACCTAGAATGTCATAATTTCTATTTATATTACAACAGCAGAAGAAGCCCTCATTTTTGTCTGAGGCTGCACACGTGAAGTGATGTAGTTCTCCTCATTTGGTCATATTAAAAGTAAAGTTGTCTTTAGCAGTTAGTTCATTGAGGAGCACAGGCAGAGCTTGCCAGGTGTGCTTGAGATTTCTCACATCAGTAGTCACGCAGAAGGACACTTTTTATAGTCAGTGTGTCTCACAGTTGGTATTTTTTGCATTTCGTGCTCTGCAGGGCTCTTTCCTCATTGCCTCAAGTAGGCAGTTGAACGATGTTTTGCAGTGGGCTTTCTTTAAACCTCATGCACTATGGTTTGTGCTCTTTCAAGTGTAGGGTGCATCTTTGCTTTTGGTTACTGACTGTAAATTGGGGAGGTGAGGGCCATCTGCCAAACAGCACCAGGGCTTCCACCCTGTTCTATCCTGACACAGTTTGTGATTTGGATCCTGGCCTCAGGAACAGTTTCCTTTGGAGGAGAAGATGCATGCAGCTGTTCCTTGCATGTCGCCACCCATTCTGAGGAAAAAAAATGCTCTGAATCTCTCAAAGGAGCTACTTCACTTGGTAGTAGTGCAAAGGTGATACTATTTTAGGAGGGAGAAGGCAGCTCTGAGGTTATACTATAGTAGAATAGGTTAGAAGATCACTATTTACCTTCAGCTGGAAGTTAGGATGTCTGCTGCATTTGTATCTGAATAAAGTCTCTGAGTTTTGGCTGTTTGCCAGATAGCCAGAAGTAACTCCTTAACAAAAAGAAAAGTTATTTTTGTTTTTCGCCATGGCATGTGGAATTTCCCATTCTTTCCTTCACTGCCATTCTTTCTTGCCTCTATGCCTACAATTTTTGTCAGTAGATGAAGTACTATTTTCCCATTTGCACAGAGAGTGAAACAGTATGTTCAAGTCATCAGTCTGATTTCCTCACTAGACTTCACTGGTACTGTCATACAACTTGCAACAGTGTGAATGACATATATTTTTATTTTCTAGGGTGAAAACAAATCTGAATATTTTTTAGGATTAACACCCATAGGAGTTGTTGTCTACAAGAATAAAAAGCAAGTAGGAAAATATTTCTGGTATGTATTATTCAAATGTGCAGTCTGTGCTTAAAACATCATTGTTGTATGAAAGTACATGATATGTGATATCTATTTCAAATATTAATTGTATCAATAAAAAAAGTATTGTATCATAGGAATTCCTAATCCTTGTCTGGTCAGATTTTTAGTTCTTTGATAATCCAAATATTGAAAAAAATAATTCACCTTTACCATAGTCATGCTAAAATGTTTAAATACTGCTAATTTTCTGTTGATATCTGGTGGATACCTGAAAAAGAAAATCTACCTGTGAATTCCTTTTGTCTTTGTATGTAAATATGTACAACTTTATTATGCGTGAAATTAAAGGCTCATTAAGTTCTTTTTTTCTAATGTTACAGGCCTAGAATTACAAAAGTTCACTTCAAGGAAACACAGTTTGAACTTAGAGTCCTGGGAAAAGATGTAAGTTTTTATTTAAGCCTAATAGGGGAAAAAAAAAGATAATCTTAGGTCTAATCAAGTGGAAAATCTGTGTGTCCATCAAAATCTAATTTATTTTATTGAAATCGACTGCAAGAAATCATCAAAGTGAAATTTTACTGATAGTTACTGCAAGAAAGTTACCTGATCCTCAAGTGTAGTATGTTTCTGATGGTGCTTGCAGTTTTATTAAAGAAAGATGAGGAAGAAAGATTTTCTGTCCATGTTTTTCAGGCAAGGAGAGAGAACTTCAGCAGAACAGTGCTGAAGTAGGAATTTTATAACAAACCTTTATCATTTTATATCATGCTCAGTAAATTAGAGTAGACTTCTTCTGCAGTGCCTCGTTTATGGTGTTATATAGTGCTTTTAAACTAGTCTAAATCTACAGGGAAAGCTGATCATTAACCAAAATGTGAATGGAGAAAAAAATCACAAAGCTGTCAGGTGCAAGTAATTTTGTAGCTTGGAAATAATATGTCTTGAAATATATATATTATGCCACATAATATATCTGGAAACCCATTTGTCAGTGTTTAACTTCATTGTGCTATTAGACCACTGGAGAGAAAATATTGTTTCTAGTGGATAGCAGGTTGATAGCAAGAGAAGAGGTTTTAAGATACAGTCAGTGGAAAAAACAAAGATATTTATCACCTGTGAAGCATGTAGGGCAGGGGGAGGAGGAAGAGAGTGATGAGGATGTAGGGAAAATTATGAAGTGTAATAAATAGTTACAGTCAGTCTGTGATTTTTGATATCTGGTTGAGTTATAAGTTTAGTTTGTTTAATTGTTTTTTGAAAATAATTTGTAAGTGTCTCTGGAATATCAGGACTAAAAGTTTAGTTTTGAAGAAGTATTAACCTGCTGGCAGCGTTTCCCCATACCAATTATCTATGTACCTTCATTCATCTATGTACTGGTTGTTAGTCTGGGCCATGATTTTTCCATGTGGCCATTTGGCGTGTTTGGTACATTCTGGGAAATATAAGTGCACCCCTGACTGGTTGTCTTGTTTCTGTTGTGAACATCATTTCTTGTGCCTCTGCAGATGTATTGGCAAGTTTTGCTTTTATTAGTCCCAAGTAGATTGTTTCTGTTTGGTGTGGAGATGTATGTCAAGTTTTTCTGATTGTTTGTTGAAATTGGAGAGCTGTTTGAAGGCTGGGGGAAGGTTGGGAAAACCCTCAATGTTTCATGCGAAGGGTGAATGCCTGTTCATGTATAAACAAGCCTGAGTTTTTGACAGAGTGAATTGCATTGAAATGATGCTGTAGTTTCTGTTTGATGCCCATATGTACAGTTTTTGTCTGAACCATGTGGAATTGCAAAGGTTTAATATAACATGCTGAGCAGAAAACCTGGAAGCTTTAGAAAATATGCTTAAGTTGATACTGTGCATTTTGGTGGCTGGTGAGCACTTTGTCATCATAAGGCAAACACTTTGACAGCACTTGGTAAATTCAAGTTTTGACAGGTACCCTTAGGAAGCTGTTCAAGAGAACAGGGTGTGTACCATCATTAAAATCACCCTTGCAACTAATACTCATTTGAAGTGTTTCTGCAGTGCTTCATATCTTAACAAGATCAGGAAAGGCCAAAATGGGCTAGAAAAATCCTCCACTCTCATTCTGGTGGTGTTACTTCAAACAAAATTACATATTGGAGTAAGTAAACAGTAGCCTTAGTCTCTAAATGAAAGCCATCATAACAATTTGTGCTGTTCTGCACCCACAGGAGGAGAATCACAGAATCATCTAGGTTGGAAAAGACCTTGAAGATCACCTAGTCCAACCATTAACCTAATGCTGATCATTCTCAACCACACAATATCCCTCAGTGCTAAGTCAACCCGACTCTTAAACACCTCCAGGGATGGGGACTCCACCACCGCCCTGGGCAGACCATTCCAACACCTAACAACCCCTTCTGGAAAGAAATGCTTCCAAAAATCTAGTCTGAAACTTTCCAGGTGCAATTTGAGGCTATTTTACCTCTTGTCCTATTGCTCGTTACATGGTTAAAGAGACTCATCCCCAGCTCTCTGCACCCTCCTTTCAGGGAGCTGTAGAGGGCGATGAGGTCTCCCCTCAGCCTCCTCTTCTCCACACTAAACACCCCCATTTCCCTCAGCCGCTCCCCGTACGACCTGTGCTCCAGACCCTGCACCAGCTTCGTTGCCCTTCTCTGGACACGCTCGAGTCATTCAATGTCCTTTTTGTAGTGAGGGGCCCAAAACTGAACACAGGAATCAAGGTGCGGCCTCAGCAGTGCCGAGTACAGGGGTCAGATCCCTTCCCTGTCCCTGCTGGCCACGCCAGTGCTGACACAAGCCAGGATGCCATTGGCCTTCTTGGCCCCCTGGGCACACTGCTGGCTCCTGTTCATCGGGCTGTCAATCAACACCCCCAGGTCCCTCTCTGACTGGCAGCTCTCCAGTCACTCCTCCCCAAGCCTGTAGCCCTGCTGGGGGTTGTTGTGGCCCAAGGGCAGCCCCCGGCATTTGGCCTTATGGAAACTCCTGCAGTTGGCCTCAGCCCATGGCTCCAGCCTGTCCAGTTCTCTCTGCAGAGCCTCCCTACCCTCGAGCAGATCAACACTCCCACCCAACCTGGTGTCATCTGCAAACTGACTGAGGGTGCACTAAAGATGTTAAACAGGAGTGGCCCCAAAACCGAGCCCTGGGGGACACCACTCGTGACCGGCCGCCAACTGGATTTAACTCCATTCACCACAATTCTTTGGGCCCGGCCATCCAGACAGTTTTTTACCCACCAAAGTGTGTACCACGCAGCTCATTAGTGTGTTTTTATGACTGTATGTTCTTGAAAATTTAATTCACAGATTTCTTTTATTCTCCTGTTTTTTTTGGAATAAATGCTAACACTTTGTCTTCCCATGTGGGACATGAGTTTGCAGTATACAATAGGAGAGTTTTTAACTTTGTCCTGCCTCCTGGGATACCACTTTACAGCCCATGGAATTAATAATTTCCTTGTTTAAGATCTGGTATACCAAGTCTGAAATGAGTTACGTTTTCCAGTTAGTTGGAGAGAGTGCCAGAGAAGATTCATGAAAAGAAGAAATCATGTTAACTGTCTCATGTCTTAGAGCTTTATGACACTTAGAAAAGGAATTAATAACCTGTCATAAGAAGAGCAGATTCTTTCTGAATATATTGAATGCTTTGTGTGAATCATGTTTTCTGTATCGTATTGAAAACCCTGTGCAGGCTGGATTTTGGTTTGTGTTTCCACAGACTAGCTATGTTTATTCACACTGATGAGCACTGTTCATGGGTACACCTGCTCATCAAGAGGAAGCTGTTGATGCTTTTAGTACCAGTGAAGTGTTGCTCTTCACCTGTATGGGGTTAGCTGTGGTAACTTCTTGGTTCTCCTTTCCAATAAATTTGTCTGAGATTTTTTCAAACCTACCAAAAGAATTTGAATGTGTACTTCCCACTGAAGGGGTGGGCGTGGACATCCTGATCTCCTTGACAGACATGGCAGTCTAAATGTAGAGGTCCATGTCATTAGGCTACCTAAAATATACACTGTGAGGTGCCTGTGTCAGCCATATTTGTGGCTGCTAAGTTTGTTGTTTACATCATTTCACTTTTCAAAAACTTGATTATTTGTCAAGCAAAAGATGCATTTACTGTCTTGTAATAAAACAAGGTGCTTCACCTTTCCTGTTTTGTAGTGTGACCTCTTGTACTTCTTTGTATCGCTTCCATAAGAACATTTCATGTATATTTAACTTCTTTATATTTTTCCTACATACATGTGCAAGCATGACTATAGGTATTTTGGTTTTATCTTTCACAACTTTTCTTATATTACATGTTTTGTCCCTAAAGCTACTGCTATTGCCCCTTCATAAACATAATACTGCTCTTAATATTTGGTTGTCTGTGACTTATCCTGACATATGAGACTAATGAGCTAGACCAGCTGACAGAAACTCTTTTTCAGTGGTGTTAATCATTGAATCAGTATTGCATTGTACCCTGAGTTGACCTATGATGTGAATTCTGAGCTAGAAACATGTTAGGCTTTCTAAGTATTACATAAAGTTAGGAATGCTTTGCCTGTGAGGACTGCACAGAAAGATTCCCTGAACACGACAAACAATCACAAATAATATTTGAAGATTAGAAAAGTGTGTTTTCATGCAGGTTCCTTTAATAAAACCAAGAGATCCATCTGATGCCTGTGCACAGTTCCTGGTAGCATAAATGTCTGTTGAGCAACCTTGCTGGAAACGATCCAGTTATACAGGTGGCTGCCCAAGTCCCTCCCCGGTGCCCACCCCCCTTTGCATGCAGCGAAAGAGAGCTTAATCACAATGGATGCACTGTGAGGAAGTGTGTAATCAAAGGGGTGCACAGCACACCTCCTGTACTTTCTGTGTCCGAGGAACACAGTTTGCTTCCTACATTTCTCTCTCAACTAAGGACATGAAATAAAATAGAGAAAAGATGATTTGATAGATTGTGTAGACTGGGAATGTAAATGTAGTACTATGCGGGAGTGAGAGATACGGAGCTTTTTTGCCTATAGGTACCAAGTACTTCTCTGCTGTTCCCTGCAACCTGCAACCCCATGCTGTTTTCTGTAACAGGGCCTGCTACTTCGGTTGCTCTGTGTCTGAACATGTAAGTGAATAATTTCACTCCTTCGCAGAGTTTATGTAAAGCTTCTGTACTTGTTACTTTTCATTGTTCTCTTTTCATCAAACCAGAAAGCGTGCAAAACGTGCTTTCATTATTTTTTTGTTGTAAGAGAAGGGTCTTTTGGAAGTCTGAATTTATTTTTTTTTTGAGGGATTTTGAAATTTGAGTTCTTTCAAGTCAGAACAAACCCCCAATCTATGCAGTTACAAATGATTTGCATGTTTTCAAGACATGTCTTTCTAGGCAGTATTGCTTAGTCAGATAGAGACCCAGCTCAGCTGAATTCATAAGGTAAAGATGGTA